TATATTTAAATCACTTGAAATGAGTATCGCAGCTGCTCACTAATAGTTGGCTCACATCGCTTCGATGGTGAACTGAATGCAAGCATCTTGTGTTATGCGAAAATATGGACCTGACTGGAAGCGCGTAGCCTCAACATCAACCGTAGGAACTGTGCCAGAAATTGTTGATCTGCAGTAAAAAGCCACCTTCAGTGATTTAATGCTTTAAAAATATGCTAAATTTAATGAATGAGAGTAAATATATGTGCAATTCTCTTCCCCTCCGACTTCTCACTTCCTTCTTCAATGAATGTGCTTCGTTGTGTCGTTCCAGTTAATGTGAAAGGGCATACCAATAGAGAAGGCAAATCTTTGTTGACTCATCGAAGATTGTAGGCCTGTGACTGTAATTATGCCGATGGAAATGTGTATGGCTACAGCTGCAACTGCAAACCTCAGCAACATTCAGAAAGCTCTGATGCAAATCCAAACCAGAATTGGAATTCCAATTGTAGGCGGAGCCATAAACAGGTGCCATGGCGACGCTTATTCGCATTTCAGTCTCTTCGTTAGGCACTCTGTTGCCAGACATTTAGCCAAGACAGAGGCATGGGAGCAAATCAATTCGGGTGTCAAATCCCAGCTGGATGAAATGTTGGGACAACTGACACGTTGCAAACATAGACCACGCGACAGGCTACACGAGGCATGTGCCGCCGATCGTTTCCTACACGCGTTAATGAGGGAGAATTCAATCACAATTTCGCGAGACATGATTGATGCACAACGTCTTCTGGTGTTCATCGCAATCCTTTGTGTTGCCCTTCTCCCTACAATTCGGTTCATTCGCAGCACCCCCTCCTGCTTCGACTCATTTTTGCAGTTTGTGCCCTTTTTATTCTTCACTACCTTTCCCTTCTACGCTCCAAGCGCGTTGAAAGGCCAGAGCATAGGGAACGGATGGAATTCATCGAAATTAAGGGTGAGTCATGACATCTCTTCCCCGCTGCTGTCTCAGATGGCACTCTTTTGTAAATGGGCATGTCAGGAGAGGTCTGTGTGCTCACAGCAGGCGCTCCAACTTCATGTTTATTCGAATGCATAGTTATTCCAACTCTTTCCGTAATTTATGGTTGCAGCGGTTACATGGGCAGAGAGGTAGATAAAGGAATGAATGAACGGATAAACAGACGGAAGAAGTAACCTAATGAAAACGCAGTAGCTTATAATAAAACTGTTCTCAATCAACCCACCCTGTGCACAGCATCAGTTCATATTCGCACATTTCATTCCCTCTCGTTCCCTGCCTTTCCCATTCCTTTCTTCCTCTTTATTTACTCTTTTGTGCTTTTCAGCTGAACAGGTAATGTTCTTCGCCTCCACTGGTGACGTCACATCACCCATACTCTCCTCTATAGTGAGGGGCAGGCATTTGCGCAAGCACAGGATTAGAACAGTTTACCAAGAACTAACATTTACCAATTCC